ATAATGTAACAGCATGGGGGTTGGGTCAGAAAGCGTAAATGTATAAATGTGTCGTTAAACACGCCACCACCCGACACAGCCAACTTGTAAGGTTTGTCACGTAAACAGAATGCGGCCAATTCTTTGCTCGTGTTATCGCCGGAAATGACCCCAAACCAATGTGCAGCCTAACGGCTATTCAAAAACATAAATAAACCGAGGTCTCCGATTGGAGTAAAAGAGGCCTCCACAGGGATTGGTCAGGAGGCGGGGCTTTGAAGTAGATTGGCAGGATGTTACTCTACTTCAGCAGTTTCCTTGCTGTAGTTGTCTCACCTGATGACTATTGCTTGCGTTGCGATCAAAACGTCGTGATCTATTGAATTTTCTACCCACGTGACTATACCGAACGAACCTAAAGAGCATGGATTCCTGCAGTCACGAAAGCTTCAAATCAAGATTGGCGGGATATTTTTGAAGGAGACAAAGGCCGGGAAACAACGGTGGTGGAACCCAGAGGCTGCGGTTTGGATCCGTTTGAGGGCAAGGACAGCGATTGGCTGGGGGGGGGGGGGGGCGTATAAGGGGTGAGGGAGGCAGAGCACGAGGAGCCGGGAGGGTCGGAGGAAGATACAATCTTGACAGCAGTCACGAAGCCTAGGGTCCCTTTATTGTGGAAGTCTTCAAATAAAAGTGGCTCTTCATATAACTTGTTGTCGAGTCGTTACACTTGCACAGCACACACCGGTGTGTTGTAGAGCAAATCCACGACATTTACAAATCTGAGCCACAAATCTGGCTGTCGCCTGATGAAGCTCGTTGTAATTTCTGGCGAAACGTCTGCACTCGGATTGTCAATGTTGCGGATTTGCTCTCCAACCCACCGGTGTGTGCCGTACTAGTGTAGTGACTAAGACTTGGAGGCACTCGTTAATTAACGAGCACCATCGGGGTTAAAACTCTTAACAATTCGGCTGTCTATTGTCGGCGACGCTACTCAGTCAGGACAGTTGGTAGGCTGCCTGAGTAGCGGCGCCCGAGATGGTGAAGACGAAGAGGACGAGGAGAAGGGCGGTGAAGACGACGAGGAGGGCGATGAAGACTTCAGCAGCACGATGGAAATCCCACTCCAACAACAACCCCGAGGTCCCCTACAGGGGCCCTTCTTATAAACTGTCAGCTTGGCCTGGCTCCGCCCCCGGCCACGCCCCCCTTCTGGAACCTACCAGCGGGTTCTTGGTGTGCCCCTTCTGTGACCTTTCCCCCAGATCCCCCTCTGGTGTCTATCCTGGCCTGCTGACGTCAGGGCTGCCGTACGCCGCAGATCCCCTTTCCTGCCAGCAGCCAGCGCTATGCCACTACACCAGTAACGAATTGGCCACGTTCTTATTCTTTGGGTCTTCCGGTAAAGTCACGTAGATAGGTTCAAAGGAAATTACAAAAAAAATCTACGGCGTTTCGATCGCAACGCGAGCGGCCGTCGTCCGAAAAAGCAGCTTACCGAAGGGCTTTTCTGGCGACGATCGAAACGTCGTAGATTTTTTCGTTACTTTCTTTGAACCTATCTACGTGACTTTACCGAAAGACCCAAAGAATATGAATTCCTGCATTCATGAAGGCTTTAAGTCAATATTTGGCCGCGTTCTGTTTCACATGACAAACCTTACTGATTGGCTTGCGTCGGGTGGTGGCGGTTTGAACGACGCATTCATACATTTACGTGTTCTAACACAAACAAGCGAAAACCTACGTTATGGATGATATTGGTCGTGAAAGCCTGCTACATTTTAAAATGATGGCAGGAGGCCTCTAAATTTCCCGTGTGAGGCCCACGCGCGTTGCGACCGCTAAGCGACCGCCTGCTCCATCACCCGGCGCATTAACAGCTCGGGTTGCACGCTGGGTTCATGGGAATGAACTTCTGCTCGCCCACGTACGAACATTCGCCTGGCATGCGTCGGTGACCGATGGATGCGCTCGCAAGAAGATCCTCACCGTGTCTGTCCAAGTGCTTGCCGAGCTGCGCTGGCTTTCTGAATGCGCCGCTGTAAGGTCATCGTGCTCGGTTTAAACCCGTAGGCTTTTGCGACTAATATTATTCGTAATAAAGGTTTTTTTTTTTGGTTGGGTTAGATCACGTAAGTATTGATGTGTCGTAACCCTCCATCGCCCGACACCGCCAATTAGTAAGGGGATTTGTAACGTAAACAACGCGCCAAAATAGTTACTAGTATGGTGTGGTGTGTATTGTAGTGTGCAGTGTATAGTGTAGTGTACTACTTCAGCCCACCGGTGTGTTGGAGAGTAAATCCACAACATTTACAATTTGAGTACGGTGACGTTTCGTTGGTAATTACATCCAGCACCATCGGGCGATTTGCCAGCATAGTGAAGCAGGATGACGTTATGACTTGAACCCGTTGGCTACCACACACACAAAGGTGCCTGCCACAAATGAACCACATTTGCCTGGCCGATCCCGTCAAGGAAGCTAGAAGCCATCAATTTACGCGACACTCCGCTCATCGCGGAGGCAGCAGCGGCGGCTTTTGGCTGCTCAGCCGTCGAACAAAGGCGGTGGTCACCGCTGCTTCTGCGGCCGTCTGGAACGCTCTTCCATTCCGATGTCAGGAAGCCACTGGGAGCTACGCACTTTTAAATCATCGTCGTCTGGATTGACAAACTAATTTCTTCAGAACTGCTTGTTGTGTTTAATTCTAGATTTGAAGCTTTCGTGACTGCAAGGATCCATATTCTTTGGTTCTATTCGGTAAAGTCACGTGGGTAAAAAATAAAATAACAAAAATCACGACGTTTCGGCCACAACACAAGTGGCCTTCATCAGGTGAAGGGACCGGACTGTCCAGAGGACAGCGTTGGAGTGAAGACAGCCAAGCCCACGGGTTTTTATCAGAGATTTGTCCACGAGGCAATTCAGATTTACAAACACAGACACAATTTCAACCGAGAGGATGGTTTCAAATTAAGCAATAATTGGAAAGATGTTCTAAATCAAACCAAACATTAAACTCATTTTCAATGGTACAGTATATTTATTCAAGTAGTGGTATCCGAAACTTTCACAGCAGCTTATTTCCCTTCACACCAACATTATGTAAACTCCTCCCCCCACCGTGCCGGTCCGGTACATCATTTTATGATAATTCCTTTGTCAAGGCGTTTTTTGCTTCCTCCCACACAGCTCAAAGGACGCGACCTGGGCTTGGCTGTCTTCACTCCAACGCTGTCCTCTGGACAGTCCGGTCCCTTCACTTGATGAAGGCCACTTGTGTTGTGGCCGAAACGTCGTGATTTTTGTTGTGTTTAGTTTGTTGTCCTTCCCCGCACTTCCGATGAGCACGGCCGGCTACGTACGGCGCGAAAGAAGTCTAACAAGCGTAAATAATCTGAACGGCCGATGCAAGTTCACGTCCTTGACACATGGATAGAGGGGGCTAAACGGGCGCGGTCAGAGAAAGTGGAGCTGAGTGGACTTGCCGATGACCGGCACCAGCGGTGTCAAGCGCAGCCTCTGTGGAGGAGGCTCGTGAAGGGCGCTGCTACCGGGCAGTTGGAGGCGGTCGCCCTCCAGCAACAACGGCGGGCGAGAGGAGCGACGCTCACAACAACAACGGGTGGAGAGCCGGGCAGTTAAAAGGCAGTAAGTTGGCACAGTGGGGGGGGGGGGGGGGGGGGGGGGGGGGCACAGACGGTGCATCTGCCAGTCATATCAGTCAGTCAACACATGATACCTTGGTTTGTCCCGCAACCTCCTGCCAGCAGCGATCCTTGCACATTTCACGTGGTGGACTCAAAGTGCACCTAGCCTGGCACATGGATTAACGTGGCATCATCGGCACATAGTGGCGAATTGCGGCTGTTGTTTGTGTGTGTGTCAATGTGTGTAGGAGGCAGTGCCGGATGAAGCGAGTGCGGGGCCTGTAGCATGTTGTTATAAAGGGGGCCTAAATAAAAAAAAACACGTAAATATTAAAACACAAAAATGTTCACTCGCATAGTAATGTAATTGTATTTATTTGCGATACAGCCAGATAATACGACAAATCGCTAACCTTAAACACCCAGTCATTCATAGAAGGCGGTATAGTACTATAGTAATAGAGCAAGTGCAGAATAACTGAACCGGAATTGATAGCTTGAAAGCATTTAGCGTGGGGCCTTTGAAAGTGCGAGGCTCGTAACTACTACACATGTAGTAGTTACTAAACGTGTAGTAGCTACTACACATGTAGCTACTACATATGTAGCTACTACACGTGTAGCTACTACACATGTAGCTACTACACACATGTAGCTACTACACAAGTAGCTACTACATGTGTAGCTACTACACGTGTAGTAGCTACTACATGTGTAGCTACTACACATGTAGTAGCTACTGTACACATGTAGTAGCTACTACATGTGTGAGGTAGCTACTCGTGCTATTAGGATAATCTGTCACTTTGTGGGAGCGGTGGCGCAGTGATTAGCGCGCTGCACTACGAACCCGGCGACTCGGAGTTCGATTCTCGCTCACGGCCAACATCAGTGACGAAAATCCGAACCGGTCCTGGGCCTCCCCTAGGTAGACTCAACCTTAAATGAGTACCTGGTGCGGTGTGTGAACATCGCCACTGGGGAGACAAAGGCGGCCGGGCGTGGCGCTGGCTACCCCACCCCCTCGTGTGTCGTTGCGGCCTTAATAGGTGCTCGCAAACAGCACTTGCCTCAACATCCTGTTAAAGCCTATACAGAGTATCTTTGTCTTTGTGTGCGCGCGTATGTTTCTCTGCCACGTGTGTGTGTGTATATATAGTACGCGTCTCAAAATCACATACACGTTATGCGTGCATGTGTGGTACGTGTGTTCTGCGTGTATACAGCACGATGGGACATGTGTCTGTACACATCTGAGCGTACGTGTGTCTGTTTATTCGCTCATACAAGCGCGTGTAGCGTTCACGTGTAAAACATCGCCCGACTGGTTAGACAAACACGGCCGCGCCTGGCACTCACCACACTGCCCCCTCGCGTACCGTAACCGGCCTTCAGTAGTTGCTCGCGAGCAGCACTTGCCCCACACAGTCCGTTGAAGGCTATACGGGGGACCTTTGCCTTTGATCGGCGTGTACGTGGACATCTGCGCGCGCGCGTATTAAGGCAAGCCGGGCTGTACCATTGTGAGCTCTGAGAGAGAGAGAGAGAGGGGGGGGAGGAGGGGGGAAATCCTGTGAGGATGATGATGATGGTGGTGGTGGTGCCTGTGTGCAAGGCACAATCGAGAGGAAATCCCGCTGCAGCTGATCGCATGATCACGTAACCTCCACCACCGTCATCATCATCATCTTCATCATCGGAACAACGATCATCATCATCGGAACAACGATCATCATCAGTCGTTTCAAAGAAAATACACGCGAGATTAATTCGACCGATTGCACTAGCAGTTGGCGTGAATGATTATGGAAATCATAGCATTTATGTATTATTATTAATTAAATACACGGATATCATCACATCGATGCAATCGGAGACGCTTGATTTTGGTCGACTAAGTGGAGCCATGAATTTGGTGAGCGGCTATTTCCATTGCCTCTGCTGTCGTGTCGCGAGAGTCGTGTTCATGCGTGCCGTTCCCGTGCCCATGTGCGCGCGTGTGCCATTGTGTCTTCAATGTGTGGCTGTGTCTACTGAGTGTGTATATGCTTATTGTGTATGTGCGGCTGTATTTGTGTGTTTGTGTATATGCCCATATTTATGAGTGGCTGTATGTCTGTTATTGTGTATTCGCCGATGTGTATGTGTGGCTGTGTGTGTGTGTCATTGTGTATATGCCTCTATATGTGTGTCTTTGTCTTTAATATCAGTGTATCAATGCGTGTGTGTGTGTCTGTCTGTGTATGTATGTGTATATATGCATGTAATTACGTACAGTTTATGGCTGTATGTATGCTCGCGGGCACCACTAGTGATAGCGATTATCTTAAGCCGTCTTGGGCTTCCCCTAGGTAGACTCAGCCTCAAATGAGTAAATTGTGTTGTTTTTAAACATCGCCAGTGTGGAGACAAAGGCGGTCGGGCGTGGTGCTGGCCACCCACCCCTCTCGTGTGCCGTGCCGGCCTTCATAGGTGCTCGCGAACAGCACTTGCCCCAACAGTCTGTTAAGGCTATACGGGGGATATTTGTTTTTGTTTGTGTAATTATGTACAGCATATGGCTATGTACATGTGTATGTCACTGTGTATATCTTTGTGTGTATATATATATATATGCCTATATGTGTGTATGGCTGTGCTTGCATAGATGCCAATTTGTGTACATGTGTGTTCCTATATACCGTAGGCATAATATGTGTGGCTGTGTATATATGTTTAGCCGTGTATGCGATTGTGTTTATGCCTGTGTGTGTGTCTATTTTACTGTGTATAGCTAGATGTCAGTGTGTGTGCGTATCTAACTCTGCGTATGTGTGTGTATATATATACATGTGTCTGTGTACATACGCCGATTTTGCGATAAGTAGGTATATGGGTTTTATGTGAGTCTATGGTTATCTGTGTGAGTCTATGGGTCTCTATGTCAGTCTATGGGTCTCTATGCGAGTCTATGGGTCTCTATTGGAGTCTTGGATCACTCTGTGAGTATATGGGGCACTGGGTGAGTCTATGGGTCTCTGTGCCACTCTATGGGTCTCTATGTGAGTCTATAGATCTCTATGTAGGTCTTTGGTGACGAGGCTGAGACCATCAACTCACTGCACTAGAGAGCCTGGATTTGAACCCAGGATCTCAGTGGTGCCGGCTCAGCGTCTCTGCACCATCAGCCACCCAACCACATCATCATCATCCTGGGTGGCAGGGTGGCGCAGTTGCCTGGGTTCGATACCCGACTCGGACACCTTTCTCTGTGGAGTTTCTATTAATTCTCCGCATGATCTACATGGGTTTCCTCCGGTTTCTCCGGCTTCCTTCCCATATCCCCCCCCCCCCAAAAAAAATAAAAAAACCGAAACTATATATATTTTTTTTCATTTTAACAGGTAAGGCCCACTGAGCTATATATATAGAGATATTTTTCAGAAGCGGCCTGGCCACAGACTATCGCTGAACGCAGTGGCTTATCACGTGAAAATATATAGCAGCCAAATATTTAAAACGCACCTTGATTCTCAGGTAACACCGGAAGACGCGGAGAAATACCCACGCGATCACGGGAAGAGAGACACGCAAACGCCAAATATACAGTCAGGCGTCAGGGTTCGTATCGAACCCACGACTTGCTGTATAACAGGCCAGGTAGTTAACTTCTCCTAGCCACCGTGATGATGATGAGAGAGAGAGAGACACGCAAATTCCACATATACAGCAGGCGTCGGGGTCGGAATCGAACTCACGATCTCCTGCATTCCAGGCGAGGTAGTCAACATCTCCTAGCCACTGTGATTATGACGAGAGAGACACCGCAAACTCCACATATACAGCAGGCGTCGGGGTCGGAATCGAACCCACGACCTCCTGCATACCAGGCGAGGTAGTCAACATCTCCTAGCCACTGTGATTATGATGAGAGAGACACCGCAAACGCCACATATACAGCAGGCGTCGGGGTCGGAATCGAACCCACGACCTCCTGCATACCAACGAAGGTAGTCAACATATCCTAGCCACCGTGATTATGATGAGAGAGACACCGCAAACTCCACAAATACAGCAGGCGTCGCGGTCGGAATCGAACCCACGATCTCCTGCATGCCAGGCGAGGTAGTCAACATCTCCTAGCCACCGTGATTATGATGAGAGAGACACCGCAAACTCCACATATACAGCAGGCGTCGGGGTCGGAATCGAACCCACGATCTCCTGCATACCAGGCGAGGTAGTCAACATCTCCTAGCCACTGTGATTATGATGAGAGAGACACCGCAAAACTCCACATATACAGCAGGCGTCGGGGTCGGAATCGAACCCACGACCTCCTGCATACCAGGCGAGGTAGTCAACATCTCCTAGCCACCGTGATTATGATGAAAGAGACACCGCAAACTCCACATATACAGCAGGCGTCGGGGTCGGAATCGAACCCACGACCTCCTGCATACCAGGCGAGGTAGTCAACATCTCCCAGCCACTGTGATTATGATGAGAGAGACACCGCAAAACTCCACATATACAGCAGGCGTCGGGGTCGGAATCGAACCCACGACCTCCTGCATACCAGGCGAGGTAGTCAACATCTCCCAGCCACCGTGATTATGATGAGAGAGACACCGCAAACTCCACATATACAGCAGGCGTCGGGGTCGGAATCGAACCCACGACCTCCTGCATACCAGGCGAGGTAGTCAACATCTCCTGGCCACCGTGATTATGATGAGAGAGACACCGCAAACTCCACAAATACAGCAGGCGTCGCGGTCGGAATCGAACCCACGATCTCCTGCATACCAGGCGAGGTAGTCAACATCTCCTAGCCACTGTGATTATGATGAGAGAGACACCGCAAACTCCACATATACAGCAGGCGTCGGGGTCGGAATCGAACCCACGATCTCCTGCATACCAGGCGAGGTAGTCAACATCTCCTAGCCACCGTGATTATGATGAGAGAGACACCGCAAAACTCCACATATACAGCAGGCGTCGCGGTCGGAATCGAACCCACGATCTCCTGCATACCAGGCGAGGTAGTCAACATCTCCCAGCCACTGTGATTATGATGAGAGAGACACCGCAAAACTCCACATATACAGCAGGCGTCGGGGTCGGAATCGAACCCACGATCTCCTGCATACCAGGCGAGGTAGTCAACATCTCCTAGCCACCGTGATTATGATGAGAGAGACACCGCAAAACTCCACATATACAGCAGGCGTCGGGGTCGGAATCGAACCCACGATCTCCTGCATACCAGGCGAGGTAGTCAACATCTCCTAGCCACCGTGATTATGATGAGAGAGACACCGCAAACTCCACATATACAGCAGGCGTCGGGGTCGGAATCGAACCCACGATCTCCTGCATACCAGGCGAGGTAGTCAACATCTCCTAGCCACTGTGATTATGATGAGAGAGACACCGCAAACTCCACATATACAGCAGGCGTCGGGGTCGGAATCGAACCCACGACCTCCTGGATACCAGGCGAGGTAGTCAACATCTCCTGGCCACTGTGATTATGATGAGAGAGACACCGCAAACTCCACATATACAGCAGGCGTCGGGGTCGGAATCGAACCCACGACCTCCTGGATACCAGGCGAGGTAGTCAACATCTCCTAGCCACCGTGATTATGATGAGAGAGACACCGCAAAACTCCACATATACAGCAGGCGTCGGGGTCGGAATCGAACCCACGATCTCCTGCATGCCAGGCGAGGTAGTCAACATCTCCTAGCCACCGTGATTATGATGAGAGAGACACCGCAAACTCCACATATACAGCAGGCGTCGGGGTCGGAATCGAACCCACGATCTCCTGCACACCAGGCGAGGTAGTCAACATCTCCTAGCCACCGTGATTATGATGAGAGAGACACCGCAAACTCCACAAATACAGCAGGCGTCGCGGTCGGAATCGAACCCACGATGTCCTGCATACCAGGCGAGGTAGTCAACATCTCCTAGCCACTGTGATTATGATGAGAGAGACACCGCAAACTCCACATATACAGCAGGCGTCGGGGTCGGAATCGAACCCACGATCTCCTGCATACCAGGCGAGGTAGTCAACATCTCCTAGCCACCGTGATGATGATGAGAGAGAGAGACACCGCAAACTCCACATATACAGCAGGCGTCGGGGTCGGAATCGAACCCACGATCTCCTGCATACCAGGCGAGGTAGTCAACATCTCCCAGCCACCGTGATTATGATGTGAGAGACACCGCAAACTCCACATATACAGCAGGCGTCGGGGTCGGAATCGAACCCACGATCTCCTGCATACCAGGCGAGGTAGTCAACATCTCCCAGCCACTGTGATTATGATGAGAGAGACACCGCAAAACTCCACATATACAGCAGGCGTCGGGGTCGGAATCGAACCCACGATCTCCTGCATACCAGGCGAGGTAGTCAACATCTCCTAGCCACCGTGATTATGATGAAAGAGACACCGCAAAACTCCACATATACAGCAGGCGTCGGGGTCGGAATCGAACCCACGACCTCCTGCATACCAGGCGAGGTAGTCAACATCTCCTAGCCACCGTGATTATGATGAGAGAGACACCGCAAAACTCCACAAATACAGCAGGCGTCGGGGTCGGAATCGAACCCACGATCTCCTGCATACCAGGCGAGGTAGTCAACATCTCCAAGCCACTGTGATTATGATGAGAGAGACACCGCAAACTCCACATATACAGCAGGCGTCGGGGTCGAACCCCTAGTCGATAACCCGCCAACGCGTCGCCCCTATTTCACGCCGGGGCAACACCGCCCTCCCAACCTACTGGGCAGCGCCCCCTCCTCAACAGTCTTGAGACTCAAACGAGAATAAAAATAATAATGAAACAAATATTTCGTTGTCTGTACCGTGGGACTTGGGTTTCAGCACCAGGGACAGCGC